AACACGCAACTTTTCATACCTCCCATTAAGTCTCATCTCTTCACTCCGTGCTCAACCACTCTTATATAAATTATAGAAAAAAATTGCTTTAAGTTATTTAAAAGTAAAAAAAAAAAAAATTATAACAGTAAAAGTTACTTATATTATAAGTAAAAAAAATATTAACTTAAATCTTTGAGGTATATTTCTAAAATGTAAAGAGTTACTTATAAGTAAAAAAATTTGCTTCAAGTTATTAAAAAAAAAAAAAAACACTTATCATTGTAGTTACTTACATATGCAGGAGTCTCATAGTCTCCATGCATGGAGACTATTGTCTCCGTATATATATATTACTTTATGGAAAAAAAAATTCAATTTAAAATTCTTTTCTATTCATAATAAAACTTAATTTTTCAATTTTAACTAAATAATATTTATATATTCTTTATTTAATTTTCGTAACTTTATTTAATTTTGTTTTTATTATATTTTTTTGAAATTTTTTTAAAAATTTCTTTTTTCTTCATATTATAAATGTTTTTTTTTCGAATAAGAATTAAGGATCCAAATCATGCGCAATTGGGACAAAGAATTAAGGATCCAAACTATGCTCAATAGGGGAAAAATTGTGATTGTCCTTGCATTATCATGAATTAACTTCTCCAAATAGTTTTCGTATAAGAATTTTATTGCACATTTCATTCAAGATGAGTAGAAAATTATTCCACAGCATTGATACTATTGGTAATATGGTAAACCTTTAGAAGTTCGTGAGGAACAATATTATCATATAGATATACCGCAAAAATATTTATAAATTAACATGAACATTCATAGTGGTGCTGGTGCTAAAATCAAATTATTGTTCTGACTTCAGAGTTCCAATATCATGCACCAGTATTGACAATTTTTGGATAATATAAATTCTATACATTTCACATTAATAATAACATAATAAATATAATACTAGTGCAATACACGAGACGAAGACTAATATAAAAAAAAGAAGATAAAGGACCATAAGTTTGGAACGGCAGATCCAACTCGGTGAATTGGATTATTCTTTCAGCACATAATCTTCTTCCATTTTATCTAAATTTCTAGATTCAAGTACCATAGCTGATAATGTAAAATTTGTAGAACCATGCTATGTATATAGGCAACTATGTCAGATTGGTTTACAGAGGGACACTTGGTATTATTCCATTGGGTATTGGAAAAAAAAAAATCCAAGCTGGCAGCATCTCTAAACCCTTTGTACAAGGGGAATAACCTAAATTTACAATCATGAAGATGAATTTGATGTTTTTCATTGAGATAATCCCAGTATCCTGCAAGATAAGCTGAACGTCCTTTTGTCGTTGGATGCATTAGAACTGTTAGGGGCTACAGGTGAAATTAGGATTGGACTAAAAAAATTTTAAGCCGGGCTACACTGATTTGGATTATCCTGAAGCATTCCTTCCATTATAAACTAATTTGGTCTTCGTCTCTTGCGCCTGAAAAATGTCAGAGAAAATGGAATTTATCCTTAATAAAATACAACACATGTAGATTTATCCGTAGTCCGGGCGATTTTGCTTTTCTGACTGTCCAACTGCGTTCCAACAATTAGGGTTCAACTCAGCAAGGGCAAGGTGTCGTGGTGTAGTTGGTTATCACGTCAGTCTAACACACTGAAAGTCTCCGGTTCGAGTCCGGGCGACGCCATTTATTTTCCTTTTGTTACATTGCTGCTCTCATTGCATACAGCATTCAAACGACATCGTTTCAATCATCATCATCATCTCAATCCTCCACCAATTTCAGTTAAAATTCGCAGTAAATCCTCAATTCCACACCATATATATAAATAGAAAATTTGTTTGTACACCTGTATTCGAATTGTCGGCGCCAACCCAAGAAGGGCTTTTCGGGATTAAATCAAGGACCCGGGAGGGTGAGAATGGAAAGCCAATCACGGCGGAGATCCGCCCGATCTAAGGCAGACCTGGCGGTGACACTACGTAAGGCTTGGTATCATTTGAGACTATCGGTGCGTGACCCACTGCGGGTTCCAACGTGGGACGCCATCGTTTTGACTGCAGCGAGTCCTGAACAAGCGGAGCTCTACAACTGGCAGCTCAGCCGCGCAAAGCGCATAGGTCGCATTGCTCCTTCCACTATTACCCTAGCTGTCCCTGACCCCCATGGCCAGCGAATAGGCTCCGGTGCTGCCACTCTGAATGCCATTCTTGCCCTTGCCGAACACCTCCACCACCTTGATTCACCAGTACGTATTAAAATTATAACATTGTTTTTGGCGAAATTCTTCTTCATCAATGTATTGCTGACTTGCAGTTATCTTTGATGATATGCTGTTGTATTATTTATAGTTGTTGATAATGTTTATGTTTATTGTATTTTTGGGTATCGAATTGCCTGTTTGTTGAATTAGGACAATGCAGAAGTTGGTTGAGTAGAAAAATTCAAAATTGGGAGAACGTTTATGTAATTTAACAAAATTGTTCAACAAATTGAGAATTGACTGTCTTTGATAATGTTCAAAGTTCGATTGTTTTGTAAATCACAAATCCTCTTACTATCTGTGTGTTTGCACTTTGCTAAGTTTCCATCTATAACATTATGATAATTCCTGAGTATCCATGGGAATATAACTATTAAAAGTAAACCTGCACATTAGCAGGTGAACATTAAGATTCCCAAAACTGAACCAACCATGCTGTCGTGTGACTTCAATCTTCTGGTTTTCATAATCTTTTCTCCACTGGGTCAAGGTTTCAATGACCCACCATTGTTTACTGAAATTTCTGTAGTTAGAGCTAAATTTCAAAATAATTGCTTTCTGGGTTTGATGAATTATCTTTCATCTGCAGGTAGCAGATTCAAGCAACTGCAATTCTACTTCTACATCCTATGAAAGCTCTAACAACGAAATTCCACTCCAGCCACTTGTTGACTTGATGGCCAAAAAACATATATTACTGCTTCATGCAGGGGGAGACTCTAAAAGGGTTCCTTGGGCTAATCCAATGGGGAAAGTTTTCCTGCCACTGCCATATCTGGCAGCAGATGACCCTGATGGCGCAGTTCCTTTGCTCTTTGATCATATACTTGCAATAGGTTCTTGTGCAAGACAAGCTTTCAGAAATGAAGGTTACTCGTTATATCTAATAGCTGAAATAAATTTTGTAACACAACCCTGTATGTGATATCATCCCTTATAGTTACGATCTGCGATGTATAGTAATAAAGTTTTGTAATGCAACCTTGTACACGATGTGATCTCATATTATTAAAATGCGCATAATATCCTTGTACAGCGTCTGTCGTACACGTCGAACTATTTAATGACTACGTGTCATGCTTATTAAATGGAACTTCTAATTTTTCAGGTGGGTTGTTTATCATGACTGGGGATGTTCTTCCTTGTTTTGATGCTTCCAGAATGGTACTTCCAGAGGATTCAGCATGTATTGTCACTGTTCCAATAACCCTTGACATTGCTTCCAACCATGGCGTAGTGGTGGCATCTAAATCTGGGTTTACTGATGAAAATTATTCGGCCAGTCTAGTCGCTAATCTGCTTCAGAAACCTAGTGTAGACGAGCTTGTTGAGCACCAGGCATTACTAGACGATGGCAGAACATTACTTGATACAGGAATCATAGCAGTCAAGGGTAAAGCATGGGTGAATCTTGTCATCCTGTCCTGTTCCAGCCAGCCAATGATATCTGGACTTCTGGAAAGCAAAAAAGAGGCAAGTTATTGGTCATTAGTATTTTTTGTGCTCTCTAGCTTCTGCATGCCTGTAATACTGCTTCTACAAGTTTTCATGTCTTTGATGTTTTAGGAATTGCAGCCCTTCAGCTTCTTTGAATCTTGAGGTGAATATCTTTTACCTTGTGCAGATGAGTTTATACGAAGATCTAGTTGCAGCTTGGGTGCCTGCAAAGCATGAATGGTTACGACCACGACCTTTGGGTCAAGAACTTGTGGCAAAACTGGGAAAACAAAAGATGTTCAGCTATTGTGCTTGTAGGTTCAGTGGCGAAGTTACTAAAATACTAATAGATGCTCTAGTTTATGATATTTTTGCCTGTCTTCATAATGTCTTTGACCGTACATTCAAATGCATTTTATTTGTTCATTTTCTCTGCCTAATCTGTTTATTCTTGTGATTCATTTTTCGTTCAGATGATCTCTTGTTCCTGCATTTTGGGACCTCTAGTGAAGTTCTGGATCACCTTAGTGGTACTGGTTCTGAACTGGTCGGAAGAAGACATCTGTGTTCAATTCCAGCAACCACTGTATCTGACATAGCTGCCTCAGCTATAATTGTTTCTAGCAAAATATCCCCTGGTGTCTCTATTGGTGAAGATTCTCTTATATATGATTCCTCCATCTCTAGTAGAATTCAGATTGGTTCTCAGTCGATAGTTGTTGGTGTTAATGTGCCCGGAGACCAAAACACGATGGCTATGAATTCATTCAGATTCATGCTACCAGATCGCCACTGCCTCTGGGAGGTTCCCTTGGTAGGACGCACAGAAAGGATTATAGTGTTCTGTGGTCTCCATGATAATCCAAAGAATTCACTTTCGGAAGATGGGACCTTTTGTGGGAAACCCTGGAAAAAGGTTTTAGGTGATTTAGGAATTCAGGATATTGATCTTTGGGGCTCGAAGGAAGCAAAAGACAAATGCTTGTGGAATGCCAAATTATTTCCAGTTTGTCGGTACCCTGAGATGCTCGAATTGGCATCATGGCTAATGGGCCTGAGCAAACAAGAAGACAAAACACTCCAGTTATTATGGAGAGGTTCACACCGCATCAGTCTAGAGGAGTTGCATAAATCAATTGACTTCTCGCAGATGTGGTTAGGCACCACTAATCATCAAGCAGATCTTGCAGCTGCGATTGTTAATGCATGTCTTAATTTTGGCTTGCTTGGGCGCAATTTATCTCAATTGTGTGAAGAAATTTTGCAGAAAGAATTCACTGGAGTTCAAATATGTAAAGAATTTCTCTCTCTATGTCCCAACTTTCAAGCTCAAAATTCTCAGATTCTTCCTAAGAGCAGGGCACACCAAGTGCATCTTGATCTTTTGCGAGCATGCAATGATGAAAGGATGGCATCTGAAATGGAGCATAAAGTGTGGGCTGCAGTTGCTGATGAAACTGCTTCTGCAGTAAGATATGGTTTTAAAGGTAAAGAATATATTTTGCACTTTAATGATGTAAACTTTAATTTGTGCCTAAAAGAAAAATCATGAATATTTTCTCCAAATGTGCTCAAGATCACAGCCATTTTTCTGAAATTATTGTTAGCGTGGATAGTTTGCATTTTCTCAGCGATTATTTCTTTTCAGTGTTCATTTCTTAACTTCGCCATTAGCAGAATTCAACACCTATTCTTTTTCTCATACAAATGTTGACAATTTGTGTTCTTTCAGAAAATCTTTTGGAATCCCCCAGTTGGTCCTCTCCATCTGTGCACCAAGTTAACAGTTTCAATGGTGTATTGGCTCAATCTTTTGAGACTAGGAAGGTGACTGTTGAACTACCAGTTCGGGTAGATTTTGTTGGGGGCTGGAGTGATACTCCACCATGGAGCTTAGAGCGTTCTGGTTGTGTGCTGAACATGGCAATAACATTGAAAGGTTTACTTCCCATTGGGACAACCATAGAGACGACAAAAAAGACTGGACTATTATTTCACGATGATACAGGAAATGAGTTGTACGTTGAAGATTTTTCCTCCGTTGCACCTCCATTTGATAGCAGTGATCCATTTCGACTAGTTAAATCTGCATTACTTGTCACTGGTGTTCTCAATGAGAAGATCCTTGAATCGACAGGCTTGAAGATAAAGACCTGGGCCAATGTTCCGCGTGGAAGTGGCCTGGGCACGTCCAGCATCTTATCAGCAGCTGTTGTGAAAGGTCTTCTCCAAATAACAGGTGGAGATGATAGTAATGAGAATGTCGCCATACTTGTACTTGTATTGGAACAGCTTATGGGGACAGGTGGTGGTTGGCAGGATCAAATTGGTGGTCTCTATCCCGGGATTAAGTTTACTGCAAGTTTTCCTGGAACCCCATTGCGACTTCAAGTCATTCCTCTGTTAGCTTCACCCCAACTTATTAAAGTGTTGCAGCAACGACTTCTTGTTGTATTTACTGGTCAAGTAAGTTCTTATAAGTCCTGGGTCTTGTAGAATTTGTAGATAGTAAATGGGTAGTAATTTGTAGGTCATATGAAATGTGTGGATATTCGAAGTGTATTTGACAAGCTTAAATAATTGTGCAGGTCCGACTTGCACACCAAGTCCTACAAAAGGTGGTGACTCGATATCTTCAAAGAGATAATATACTTGTTTCCAGCATCAGACGCCTTGTTGAACTGGCAAAGATCGGGAGGGATGCTTTGATGAATTGTGATTTAGACAAGATGGGGGCCATAATGATTGAAGCTTGGAGATTGCATCAAGAACTTGATCCCTTCTGCAGCAATGAATTTGTCGACAAGCTTTTTGCATTTTCTGAACCCTATTGCTGCGGATACAAGCTTGTAGGCGCTGGTGGTGGGGGATTTGCATTATTGCTGGCTAGATCTGCTGAATCTGCAAAGGAACTGAGACATTTACTTACAGAAAATTCTGATTTTGATGTCGAAATATATGATTGGAAAATATTTTTACATAATTAGTTGAAGTTAGTTAACCGAATTTTCATTGTACCTATGTCACGTGTAACAACACGGGAAAGCATTTGTTGGTTCGGAAACGTGTACACTGATATTTATTAATGCTCGTTATGTTGAAATTTCCACGACAGTTAAGTAAATGGTTTCTTCTTTTTGCTGATAGTTGATACAATGTGGCATCATTTGTTGTCTTCCTTCCAAGATTTTGAGGCTATCATAGTAAGTGCGTGTTTGGCTAAGCTTGTCAAATATGCTTTTTATTCATACATTTTGTATAGAAGTCATGAGTACAACACATTTATTAATGTAGCAACATAGGTTTAAAACTTATGAGTAATTAAAACTTTGCCAAACATACTATTAACTTCGTTGAGGGAAATTTGTAGTCGGGTCTAATTTTGCATAAAGTGATATGCACCTAATTTTAAAGGACGCGTCTAAATTAAAGGAAAAATATTACAGATGCCCATCTTCTACCTTTGGCTCGCCCACTACCTTAGACAAAAACTGTCGACTGCTAACACGATTTAAACGCACAAAAGTATATGTTTTTGACAAATGCTAACTCCATTTTAGATCAAAGTAGAAGGTTTTAAAGCATGCGAAAATGGTTAATTTTGTTTGCACTTGTAGTATTTAATTATTTTTACCTTAGGAAATGCTGAAAAACAGATGTTTGTTAACATGAGTGATTAACTAATGATGGATATACGATTAAGGCCCTATCTGACACTCATTATTTGAAAGCTTCGTTGAGGGAAATTTGTAGTCGGGTCTTATTTTGCATAAAGTGATATGCACCTAATTTTAAAGGACGCGTCTAAATTAAAGGAAAAATATTACAGGATGCCCATCTTCTACCTTTGGCTCGTCCACTACCTTAGACAAAAACTGTCGACTGCTAACACGATTTAAACGTGCAAAAGTATATGTTCTTGACAAATGCTAACTCCATTTTAGATCAAAGTAGAAGGTTTTAAAGTATGCGAAAATGGTTAATTTTGTTTGCACTTGTAGTATTTAATTATTTTTACCTTAGGAAACATTGAAAAACAGATGTTTGTTAACATGAGTGATTAACTAATGATGGATATACGATTAAGGCCCTATCTGACACTCATTATTTGAAAAATTAAAAAGTTTTGAACAGTATTTTAGGAGAATGTACCTCTTATCGCTTGTAATACTATGTGAAAACAGGAGAATTTGCGTTTTTTCGTGTTTTTTTTTTTTTGGGTCCTTTGCTGGTTTATATATGAAAGTGTCCTGTTTTTGACTTCTTTTCTTGACGATACAGTATTTTTTCTATTGTGATTATTGGTTGCATGGAAGCATCTTCATTGTAGTGTGTAACTGGTTCTTCTGTTTTTGGGTTTCGTGGGATGAGTATTATTGTTTTGCGTGGGTTAGTCGCTAACAAGTAAAAATGATCAGACGATTGTGTAAGGGACAAACCACTTGAGACAAAGTTCCAAAAATGGGTGTTCTTTTATTGGCGATGACTTTACAATTGGAAATGAAAAACAACGTGCCTCCAAGGGGCGCAAGCACACGAGTTACTGAAAGAAAAGTGTTTAAATCTAAAAACTAAGGAAATGAAAATTACATATTCTCTGTTCGAGAGTTTTGGATTCAGTCCTTTGCTTCTATGTCCTTTCTCCCTTTTATACTTCATGGACAATCTCTTTGTGATCAACCGCCCTATAAACTGCTTGATCGTCCTATAACTGCCAACTTTCTTCGTAATGGCCAACTTGTCATGAAAACTGCCTTTTTTAACTGTTGCCATTACTCTTCGTTGTTCAACCGCTTTCGATTGAGTTCCTTGAATCGTGGAACGTGATAGGGCTGCTTTAATAACTGTTTTGATAACTGCACTTCTTGATAACCACGACGCTTTATGTTTGTTAAGACCTTGGGCAACTTGAAGGTTTGGGCGAGAATAGAATAACAGCTCTGGGTGACTGTATGGCACTCTATTCGCTCAGATTCTGGGCGACTTGCAAACTTGGACGATGACGTTACCGCGTTCTTGGGTCTCCCTATTTGGGCCTTCATCTTGATTTGTTTGATTGGGTTTCGTTCTTTGGAATGGCTACTTCACAATCTCAAGCTGGCGACTCCTTTAGTTTCGATGACTTTCAGAAACTCCTGAATCGTCCATACATAACTCCGAGTTTCCTCGCACCCGCCGACGTTGAACGTAATGAGTTCTACTTGGGTCCTTTCTTCAACAATGCAGAGGCAGTTGAACAGGTGGCGGTGGGTCAGCTGTTTCCTTGCACTCAAGGCCTTCCATTTCTGAACTCTCTACCGCTGAGGTCATTTCGCGGAAGAGGTATTCACACTTGACCTAAATCTGATGTAGCTTTCTGTAGGTGGCATGCTCGCCTTGTGGGTCATGGTCCTACTAAGGGACTTTTTGATAGCGCTAGGATTTCTGATTTGTTAGAAATCTCTATTCGCCCCCCTGCTTTTGATTCAGCGCTCTTTTCGATTGCTTTGAGTTTTTGGTCTCCTGAGTATAACACCTTTATTTTCCCTCTTGGCCCCATGTCTATTACCTTAAGGGATGTTGGGGCCCTGGTGAATCTGCCACCTTTGGGCGGTACCATTTTTCCTGGTATCTTAGTTTCTGGTGGCACCCCAAAGTTTAGTAAAAACTACACCGATTCTTATTCAAGCTTGCAGACCCTCTAAATCATTCGAGCGCTGAGCCTACCCATACGGAGCGAGTGGCCTTCCTTTTAATTTGGCTTTGTAAATATGTTTTGTGCGTGCCAAGTATAAAACAGGAGAATTTGCGTTTTTTCGTGTTTTTTTTTTTGGGTCCTTTGCTGGTTTATATATGAAAGTGTCCTGTTTTTGACTTCTTTTCTTGACGATACAGTATTTTTTCTATTGTGATTATTGGTTGCATGGAAGCATCTTCATTGTAGTGTGTAACTGGTTCTTCTGTTTTTGGGTTTCGTGGGATGAGTATTATTGTTTTGCGTGGGTTAGTCGCTAACAAGTAAAAATGATCAGACGATTGTGTAAGGGACAAACCACTTGAGACAAAGTTCCAAAAATGGGTGTTCTTTTATTGGCGATGACTTTACAATTGGAAATGAAAAACAACGTGCCTCCAAGGGGCGCAAGCACACGAGTTACTGAAAGAAAAGTGTTTAAATCTAAAAACTAAGGAAATGAAAATTACATATTCTCTGTTCGAGAGTTTTGGATTCAGTCCTTTGCTTCTATGTCCTTTCTCCCTTTTATACTTCATGGACAATCTCTTTGTGATCAACCGCCCTATAAACTGCTTGATCGTCCTATAACTGCCAACTTTCTTCGTAATGGCCAACTTGTCATGAAAACTGCCTTTTTTAACTGTTGCCATTACTCTTCGTTGTTCAACCGCTTTCGATTGAGTTCCTTGAATCGTGGAACGTGATAGGGCTGCTTTAATAACTGTTTTGATAACTGCACTTCTTGATAACCACGACGCTTTATGTTTGTTAAGACCTTGGGCAACTTGAAGGTTTGGGCGAGAATAAAGTAACAGCTCTAGCCTCAAATTTTTCGCGTCTCTCTCAACATTTACTGTTCATCATTTGCTTCCCTACTACGTAACCCTGAAAAACTTCGTTCCATCTCAAATGGCTACTTCACAATCTCAAGCTGGCGACTCCTTTAGTTTCGATGACTTTCAGAAACTCCTGAATCGTCCATACATAACTCCGAGTTTCCTCGCACCCGCCGACGTTGAACGTAATGAGTTCTACTTGGGTCCTTTCTTCAACAATGCAGAGGCAGTTGAACAGGTGGCGGTGGGTCAGCTGTTTCCTTGCACTCAAGGCCTTCCATTTCTGAACTCTCTACCGCTGAGGTCATTTCGCGGAAGAGGTATTCACACTTGACCTAAATCTGATGTAGCTTTCTGTAGGTGGCATGCTCGCCTTGTGGGTCATGGTCCTACTAAGGGACTTTTTGATAGCGCTAGGATTTCTGATTTGTTAGAAATCTCTATTCGCCCCCCTGCTTTTGATTCAGCGCTCTTTTCGATTGCTTTGAGTTTTTGGTCTCCTGAGTATAACACCTTTATTTTCCCTCTTGGCCCCATGTCTATTACCTTAAGGGATGTTGGGGCCCTGGTGAATCTACCACCTTTGGGCGATACCATTTTTCCAGGTATCTTGGTTTCTGGTGGCACCCCAAAGTTTGGTAAAAACTACACCGATTCTTATTCAAGCCTGCAAACTCTTCACAATCATTAGAGCGCTGAACCTTCCCATACTGAGCGAGTGGTCTTCCTTCTAGTTTGGCTTTGTAAATATATTTTGTGTGTGCCAAGCATAAAGCCCTCCCTGAGTTATTTACCTATAGCGCACGAATTGGCGCGTGGTAGGCCTTTGAATTTATGTTCTTTATTTTTGGCTGTCCTTTATAGAGGCATGACATCTCTTCAAGCTCAATTGAAGAATGATGCATCTCCCACTGGTAGTGGACCTCTTTGGTTCACTCAACTGTGGCTGAGATCCTATTTTCCATTGCTTGGTGCTCCATCAATCTCTCGCTCTTCTGCTAGCTGTTATGGGCTAGCCATGGAGCCCTTAGCTCCTATAAATATGTCCAGAAGGGACATTTTTTCATTCTTTTACTTTTTAGATTCAATCCCTTCCTTTTTTCCTTTTCCTCCTTTATTGACTCCAAACTATGTACATCCCCCTTCCACTATAGATAGCGCGAGCACCTCCCTGCTCATTTGGATCCAATTTTTAACCGGGAGAGAGCTATTTCATGATATTCTAACTGGGACCAATGCCAAGGCGGGGGTAGAAATTTATGCTCCCCAATTTTTTGCTCGTCAGCTTGGTTTCGGCCAAACTTAGCCTGTTCTCCCTTGCTATTCAAGGAACTTAGTTGAACGTTTTTATACCATTAATAAGGCGGAGGCAGAGGCTATAGATGCTCGTAATCTTCTTTTAACCAGCCATTTTTCATTAGCCCCTTTCAATTCTAGCCACGTCATTCACCCTTTTTTTGAACAACTCTAGCCGTCGGTGAAGCGCAGATTATTTGCGACTGACGCCAATCGTGCCTTTCATTCATTAGACCAACCGAGCATTTCTTCTCCTCCTCCTGTTTTGGTCACTCCTTTGTCCGTTCGGA